AAACCGTCGTCCTGCTTCACCTTATAAATGTCCTTTTTCTTCACAAATCTTATGAAAATGTCCTAGATTATTCCATTTGAAAATGTCCTAGATTATTCCACTTGGAATGGCCATTCATTGTGCAGTTTTGATAGTTGAAACAAAAATAACTGACTGTTCATAATTTGAGAAATTTTCCGAAAGCATCATTAAGAATGTTTCACAAGTGAATTAGCACGGTTGATGTGTGATTTTGCGGTAAGGCGTATCAAAGACCGCCTCCGTTCCAGAGTTGTGACCGTCAAGATGTACAGCAATTACTATTTAGGTGTCTGCGAAACGAGATTGTCTGTTAGGTGGAATAACTGCAGTCGTCATTCATCATGGTAGCTGAAGTTGCGGCGTATTCGGCGATAGGCATATCGGTTATCAGTTTTGCCTTGTGCCTTTACACACTGCCGAATATCGTATCCAAGATAAACGAAATTAACGCGGATGTTGCTCAAGAAATCGATGAATTCCGTGCGATGGAGAAGCACATTTGGTAATCATTCTTTGCTTTGCGTTTATACTGAGTCGATCATGTTGTGTTCGAAGACAATATCAGAGTTGTCAACAAGTGACTCTCGTGAAACGTTCAGTTTAGTGCGAACGTTTAGCAGATGACGTTTGTGACTAAAATACTATCACTGAACCATCGGTGACCGTATCTGTATTAATGACAGTATTTGATAAGATTTGAGCAGAAAAACTGCATGGAGTGTTTATCAAAATCAAGTTAGTGTGCTTCGATTTTGGAATGTTCCATTCAATTTTCAGTAGAGTAACAGTTGGAGAAACTGATAAGAGTGATTGTTCAGTAAGGATTATGGAATTTCAGCTAATTGGACTTTTAGCTATTTTACATCGGTTTTCCTTGTTTCGAACTGAATCGAATGAATTGAAAGATGATGATTATTGAAGGGGAGAATATCGTAAAGGAATGCTGTCAACTACATTCGGACGCATGCGTGTTGCTCGTCAAGCGAACGCTCAATGTCAGTGCGATGTGAATAATCGCTGTCCACCAGGGCCTCCAGGACCACCTGGAGCACCTGGTATTGATGGAACTCCTGGTGAGATTCAACTCTCATTGATTCACTTTCATCCACGTCCATGCCGCATATGCACTCCTTTCAAAAATTGATAGTCAATTCAGTCGCCGACGAACTAACAGTTTTCTCGTATGATGAGAGTAAGAACTGATCAAAAACTTGAACAACTATCAGAAGCTTCAATGGTTAATCACGACTTATGTTGATTTCAAGTCACTTCTGTTACAGGTCTACCTGGACCACCTGGAGCTCCTGGCCTACCTGGTAATTTCCCACCAATAAACTACAACTGGGACGGGCACTGCCGTATTTGCCCTAACGGCCCACAAGGACCTCCAGGCCCGATGGGTCCTCCTGGAGCACTTGGCGAACAAGGACCGATGGGATCACCCGGACCAGATGGACAGCCCGGACGACCCGGACCAATGGGTCCACCAGGTCAACCTGGTGAGAACGGCGCGCCTGGAAAACCCGGTATGCAGGGTCCACCAGGTGCTTCCGGTGGTCCTGGTGGCAAAGGAGAACGTGGACCGCCCGGTCCACCGGGACCACCCGGACCACCTGGGCCACCTGGACAACCAGGAACACCTGGAAATAATGGAATGCAAGGCCCACCAGGACCTCAAGGACCACCCGGCCAGCAAGGTCCTGATGGACAACGTGGAGCGCCTGGTGAAGCTGGAACGGTCGGTACACCTGGAGAAGACGCTACCTATTGTCCTTGCCCAGGTCGAAGAGTTGCTGTTTCGAAGCTTGCAAAACACTAGATTGGAACTATTCGATTGCTACGGCACTGTTTCATTCACAAGTGTGTTCACTGATGAAAACCGAGAAGAGTCCTAGAACATTTCAAACTGTGATCATGTGAAATTTGTTATTTTTATAAACAGTTCAAGCGTTCTATCAAAAGTGTGAAACGATATAAAAGCACCATAAAATATGTAGGAGAAGTTTGGGTACGGATTCACCTGGGGGAAGCCTTTAGAGGGATGGTTGGATGATATTTTTTAAGATGCATGTAGAGGAGAAAATGTTTATGTTCATGGAGAAAAAACCATATATGAGAAAAAAAAGAAGTGCATTGCTGTTAGTACACGACAAACAAAAAGGAATCATTCACGAGTGCACGGATGCATTATCACTTCGAATCCATTAAGGCTAACGAATCAAGCGAAGTTCAAAGTTGGACCTACAAATGTTCATATCATCTCACAGTAACCGATGATCTTGAGACTAGATTGTATGAACAGTTTCCATGTTACAATTACTCACCCCCAAAATATTCACTTGACTTCCATGAAGTCATGTGCGCAAATGAAGCTACCACATATTAGTATGAGTTTGAAGTGATTCGGAGTAAAATGTTGAATATTGAAAAGTTTAGAATTATTCTCACAGTTCAGTTTTCCAGCGAATCCATTAACAACCAACGACAGTCGTAGTACAGAATTGCTCTAACAATGCCGTCACCAAAAATTTTTGATGGAAATGACACTGAGCCCTATTCAAAAAATTCACACTCTGAATGGATTCTAGCATTCCGAACTGAAAGTTCGGTAGTTCAAAAACAAAATGGTTTGGTGGTATTTTGAAAAGTTTTGCATTTGTAAAGTCAGTATTATTGATGCAGAACCGATTGAGCTGGCAAAGGTTTGCGAACACTTTGTGTGCATGAAGGTTCTTCAATAATTCGGTTCCACTTCAATCGACGTCCCGTGTGAATTTGTACGCAGCTTGTGCAAGAATTTGCGTACAAAGCGTACAAGTTTTTGATAGTGCTAGAGGGAGAATGCTACTCGTCGTTCGCAAATTTCTTGAGATGAACACGCATCCCATCCTAATACCCCGAAAAAAGGTGTACATTTATGAACTGTGGAAAAATATAATCAAGGTAGCAGAATTCTTCAGTACTATGCTTCCATGTAGCTGGAGCCTCTCACGTGATTAGTGATGTCTCTGTTTCACGTTTTTGGAAATTGTTCTATTCTGCTGCAAAACGGCTCTATTCTAGTCTATCCTGTGCGTTCCTCTGTTGAGAACTGGTCTATTTTATTCCATTCTACCTCCTTACTTTAGACTGTGCTATTCTGTTCCAAATTGTTCTGTTCCGTTCCGTCGGTCAGAAAAGTGACATGATAACGCTTGTGGTAATTAGGGTCGGAAACGTGGTTTTTTGGCGTTTTCAAAGTGGAGATTATTTCGGGTGGGAGAAGATTGTCCATGCAGGCAGTTGACAGCTTTTTTTTGACCGTGCTGACTGGAGGAAAAGGGTGGGTTTCGGGTTCTGGTAACCAGCGTCATTGAAGAACAGAGGATTCTCGTTTCGTCTCAACAATTTGGTCCGAAACAGACACAAAATTTCTTGTACTGATGAGTTTGGAAGGAACTGCTTCGTTCATTCGGACTCAAATCCTCCAAGCACAAACTTTTATCGGAGGCGTAAAATGTGAATAATTTTTGTGATGGATTACATCACTACACGTGATTCTTTTGTTGTAAATTATTTTATACTCAAAAGAGCAGGGTTTCACAACCCAGGGTGCCCGCACCCCCGAGGGGTGCGAAATAAAGTTTTATTGTCTATGCGTTGAAATAGGCGC